CGCGCTATACCTTGTTCTTTGTCTCTCGGCTTTCCACTGCACCGTTTCCGCAGATCTGTTCTCGGAGTATGCTCATCATGCAGTTTTGGACACAGCGGAGAAGATAAAGTTGTTTTGGACCGTTGATTGGGACGCTGAAAGCGTCTCTTTCGCCTTGGAGGCGGCCACCACTGGATGGGTTGGATTTGGGTTCTCTGGTCGTTCTGGGCAAATGGTCGGCAGTGATCTCGTGATCGGATGGGTCAAAGACAACAAGGGATATCTCACGGTGAGAGCAACGATTTGAATACGAAGTCATCATTTGTCTACTAGGTTATAAATTGAATTCAGTAGACATTTAATGAGACATATGTCCTAACACAGTTAAGCTTCCTTTTGGGAATTAACATATTTGCAAATATTCATAAAAAGTCAGACTGTACCGCATAAATAATTTTGCTAGTATATATTTATTATTATACAGAGTGGTTAAGCTCGCGTAGAGTTCATCGCCCAAAATTTTTTACTAGTATATATATTGTGTCTTACAGGATCATTGCTTACGCGTAGAATTCTTCACCCAAATTTTTTTACTAGTATATATGTGTTTTTTTCAAATAAGATAATTTTTTTACTGAGTAAAGTTGTTCGCACAAAGTTATTTATACAGTACTGTCTGACTTTTTCGCGAAACTCGCACAAGTGTATATACCGCTTCCCATTTGATTATTTTGTTTCCGCGTATAATGAAGGACTGAGTGTCAGTCTGCGAGCAGATGTTTCTTCATCGAAGGTAGTCTAGCTGGCTTACGGTGAAGAAACCACTGCTAGCGGGATCAGTAGTATAAGATTACATAAACTGACGAATGTTTGCTAACAGGACTCAAAACGTGACTATTGTGTTTCATTTTTCCGGGGCTGCGGGAGTATATGAACATATTTGTGGTTTCAATTCCAAATGAATAAGAAGGAAAGAGCAATATGGGAATTGGTAATGGACTTCAAGAATTATTTTTGATGACGTTCTAATGTAAATAATAAAGACTGAATTGTTTTAGAAACCAGGTCTGAAATGGGTTTGGACAATGACATTTTTGGTCTGAAATGGGGCCAGGATTTGGAGAGCCGAGCGGCACGCCTCCACCAAGAATTCCCAGGAGTACTCCCCGGGCAAATGTAGCAGGGATCTTTAAGATCACTATAAATACCTGAGCTCCCAGGCAATGACGTAACAGGGCCAGTCCGCGCTGGGAGCTTAAGCAAAGACGTTTTCGTGCCACGCGCGTCAACCGGAATTGAGGCCTTCTACCTTTTTATGGACCTTGACGCTAATAAATTTGTATTGCTAAGTGTCTTTACTCTTATAAAGACAATTTACCCAAGCGTTTGAACCAAACCACTGCCCAATGATGCAAAAAGTCAACTACCGGTTGACGTCCGTCGGTCAAAAACGATGTTGCTTAAGCTCGCTATTGTTTTTATGAAGGAGATAACGGCGCAACGGGGTTTCTTCGTCTACTACCGATAAAATTGTAACCTGCTTCGCAGACGCTCTAAGCCGTCTGTATGATGCGTGCGACGCATGCAACGCAGGCTAATCACACTGTTAAGACAGCGTAATATGCAGAACCAGACTTTAAGTTTCGCCGAAAAGAACCAACGCCTTATTTGACAGTGACCAACTTGGGCAGGAGTTTGATCCAACGTCCTATACATAAAGATCTGCGGGAGAGGGGTAAAGAAGGCCCTAACAATTGTTACACACGCATGCAAAATACAGCTCGACTGCACAAAGTGTTCGTCAGTGTTTTTAAGACTTTTACATGGATAGAAGGCAAAAGACGAATTATTCTTCTGCGCATCTCAAGCGACAAACTGAGACAGATTTACCCTATTCAGTCCGGAGGGGGTAGGAAAGGTTTTTGAGGCCCCCTCAATTCAAGTTTGATTGAGATTCTATCACATGACCAAGGAGGCAGGAGATCACATGAGATAGCACAGCGCATGGGTCAGATATGATCCAGATTCCCATATTTCGCATAAGAATAACAGGGATGGGATCTCATAGCTGACGGGGTGGGCATGTGATCTCCTGCCACCTTGGTCATGTGATAGAATCTCAATCAAACTTCTACTTACAGGTAAGTCTCGTTTAATTTTCCAATTCTATCACATGACCGGAGGCATGGAGAGCCCATGAGACTTCAAAGCTCTGACACAGCTATCTAAGTATGTCATATAAAACAATTGCATACCAATTGTAAATATATATATTAATTTGAATACTATTGATGTTCAATCAATAAAAAGTTTGTTAGCTAACTCGTATAATGGATATCATATCAATAAATCAACAAAGTATATTAATATATCAATCAAGAAATTCACTCATGCTGCAGAGTGTATAGTGTCATTACATCTTGACATAAGAACAATAACATTTTATAAGAAAAAAGATAAGTGAATCTAAGACAAAACTGCTTCTGCTAGTGTTGCTCCTTTTGAGCCTAGCACTGGTTTATGATAATATTTCTGGAATGTTTTTGCTGATTCCCAACCAGTTGTGTTCAGTATGGTATCTAGAGGGATTTCTTTTTGATGGGCCTTTGTTGCTGAGGCAGCTCTTGTACTATGTGAAGCAAAAATTTTTGTGTCTGTACCAGAGTTTGTTAAAACCTGCTTTGTCCACCTGGAAATCGTGTCTCTTGACACAGCCTCGTTAGGTTTTATGAAACTTATGAACATTTTGTTTTCTCCATTCCGTAGTGTTTCTGTCTTCTTCATATAAGCTTTCGGTGTTGTGAGAGGACATATTCTACTGTCAGGAGTAAAATCAGTAATCGTTACTGCAGCTGTTGCGTTGTTGGGTCTGCTTGTCTTAGTGTGTTCATCTAGTGACAGATAGGCAGTCTGGGATGTCAATTGTATTCCATTTAATGATAGTAGGTGGATGAATTGCCCTCGTTGGCCCGTTAATAACAGAAGTAACATGACTGTTTTTTGTGTGAGTTCCTTCAGAGATAGCTTCTCCAACGGATACAATGTTTTAAGGTATTCCAGGACTTGTGAGACATCCCATATTTGGTTGTACTTTGGCTTTGGTTTGATTAACTCGTAAATACCAGTGGATGAGTTCCAAAGTTGTCACAGTTATCAAGTTTTAGAATAGATGATAATGCTGATCGTGCTGTATTAATGCTGGAGTAACTCAATCTCTGGCTATGTAACGTCATCAGGAACTCCACAGCCTCGCTTATCTTTGGTGAACTGTAGTCAATTGTCCTCTTGCTACAAAACTCCAGCCATTTATTGAGGTATGTTGAATATTGTTTCTTGGTGCCAGGCCTCCATGAAGCCATGAGGACTTCGATGACTTCTTTAGAAACGTTGTATTGTCTGAAAGAGTTCCGGATAGTGGACATACCATTAAGTGGAGTTTCTGGTGCAGTGGGTGCAGTCTGTTGTGTGAGGTGTGCTGAAGTAGTTTGGGAGATGGTTGCAGATCCAGGGTTGGCTGTAAAGTAACTGTAGCTGAACTAGGGGAAACCATGTTTGTGTGGGCCACACTGGTACGATCAATATGCCTTTCCCTTTGTCCTGTTGAATTTTCTGTAGGCATCGTGGGATTAAACTGAAAGGTGGAAATGCATAGAAATTAAATTCACTCCAATCAATGGAGAACGCATCCACAAAGGCACTGCCTGGGTCTGGTTGCCAGGAGCAGTATTGTGTAAGTTGTGTGGTTAGTCTAGAGGGAAATAAATCCATGTTAAGCTCTGGGAACTCTGTTAGAATTTCTGTGAACACGTTCCTGTTCAACACCCACTCATGCTTGTCTGAAAAAGAGTGGGATTTGAAATCTGCATCGACATTCAACTTCCCTGCAATGTGTACTGCAGAGACCCAGATAATCCGGTGTATACACCA